CCTTATCTCTTTGTGGACTGATAACAGTTTACTAACCAGCAGATGTTTGTAGACCACACTTTGAATTGCACTACTCTAGATCCTTTTTACTTGAAGTGCCACTGTACATAGGGTACACATCTATTAGAAATTTAGTACCTCAGGCCTTATCTCAGGGCTACTGGATCCGAATCCGCTTTTTAATATGGATATTAAAGTTTGAGCAACACTACTCTAGAATCTAGATAACTTTAAGGATCTATTCAGTAAATACAGAATTAATTAATGAGTAAGACTTGGGAAAGGGAGAATAAATATGAGTGTAGGGAAGAGAAAAATACCTGGACTTCTTATATAACAGAAACCAAAAGGGGTCTGTGATAGACTCCAAGACCAGCCTAGTGCTTTTTGCTTTACTACTGCACTGGACCTGGTAGTTTTTGTTTGCCTGTGAATAACTCCTTTAGAAGAGAATTATAAAGGAAATTTAGGGTTATAGAGAGAAAGGGGGAGGAGTAGTAAAGCAGGATAAGATACTTACAAAGCAACCTTGGGAGAACTAAATGAATTCCAGACCTTACACCTGCTTTCCTTCATCTTTAAGTTAAGAAGCTGAATTTGCTTAAGAGAGTCTATGGTACCGTGATGTGATTCCAGAAGTAGGAAACATAAAGTACTGAGTCATAAAATGAGAAAATGTTGAATTTTTGAATGGAGGGTCAAAGCAGGTAAACTTAATGTTCTTTGGAAACTTACTATTTGCAAATGTAAGCACTGCCAGCATCAGGAATTTGCAAGTATCACGCTGAAACTCCAAGGAAGGGAGTGGGCCAGAGCAAATGATATATAGGGAAATTAGTTGTGTACAATACTTATTTTTACTGTCTTGAGGTGAGTGACATGTTATTGATATGCTATTTAGAATGCTATTTATCTTTGTTTTCTTGTAAATATAAAGGTTTTCATAGATATACTTAGGAACTAAATCCTTATTTTTTTCATAAGGCCTCAAGCTTCCTAACTAGGAATTCTTCTGTCACAGAATTTTGAGGCTAGGGATAGTGTACTGTTCCATGTTTCAAGCACCATTAATTAGGACCCCAGGTAAACTTGGAATTTATGATAGTCTATAGAATATGAGTTGAAGACTTTTCAAAACTGGCTGCTTTTGCGTGTGTTTATGAAAAAAGTCTTTTTAGTTTTTCAAGCAGTAAAATATGGAAGTTAATAAGTCAACTGCAAGCCATTTAAAATACCTGCTTAATAAAGCAGATCTTCTAATAACAAGTTTGTTAGCACTTTATTAATGTGGTTTAATATTAGTTGAAAAATAGGACACGGTATCTCACGTCCGTAGTCCCAGCACTTTGGGAGGCCAAGGTGGGAGGACTGCTTGAACTCAGGAGTTTAAGACCAGCCTGGACAACATAGCAAGACCTCAAACTCCATAAAAAATGAAAAACAAATTAGCTGGGTGTGGTGGTGCACACTTGGAGTCCTAGCTGCTCAGGAGGCTGAGGTAGAAGGATCACCTGAGCCCAGGAGGTCAAGGCTGCAGTGAGCTATAGTTGTGCCACTGCATTCCAGCCTGGGCAATGGAGTGAGACCCTGACTCAAAACTAAGGTTTCAAGTGGCAACACAATCTCTTTAAACTTATCACTACTTAAATGATGCAGTCGGAACTTACCTAATGTATAGTTTACCTGAACATTCCCCAGTCCCCTGAAACTCGCATTTTGAATTATAATCCCAGACTTCAAATAATAGTTGTAGGGAAGAGCAGCAAAGTATCTTTCCCACATCCTGCCCTTTTCTAAGTAAGCAGGTGGCAAGAGATACTCCCCTGTGGGCTCTATGCCATGTCTTTCCGTCCACTTCTGTTTTGCAAGCCTGGGTTGGTTTTAACCGAAGTCACAGGAAAGCTTGGCATCCTCTGGTCTGTTGCTACTGAGCACTGGGCAGGAGCTCCTGCCTGCGTCCCCTAAATGTGAGTCAGTCTTTGTTTGTGGTAAGATTTTTCTCTTGACCCTTTTTGTCTTTCACAGTCATTCAAACACATCTTCTCCATCGGAGTTATAAACCAGTGGGTTCTATTCTAAAATCTGAGATGTCGCTGCATCATCAAGCCATTAAAGGGAAACGTCACTGTCTCCTTCCAAAGAGGAGGTCTTTTCTACATGGACATATCGTAGGATCTCTGTGGAAGACAAAGTGAACAGCAATTTCGACTTAAACTGTTTAGCAAAGATTCTGGCAAGCTGTAAGATGCCATCTGTGAATGTTAATTATCCAGTTTTGGTTCCTTACTGGCTCTTGACCTCCTCTTGTCTTAATCCATCCATGTTACTATAACAAAATGCCTGAGACTGAGTAATTTATAGGGAGCAGAAATTTATTTTCTTACTGGTCTGGAGGCTGAGAAGTCACAGATGAAAGCAGTGTCAGGGTTGGTGCCTGGTGAGGGCCTGGTCTCTGCTTCCAAGATGGGGCTTTGAATGCTACTTTCTTTTGAGAGGATACTTTATCTTCACATGAAAGTTGGAAGGACAAAAGGGCCTAGCTAGTTCCCTCTAACCCATTTATAAAGTTTTATAAAGTTATAAAGTTGCTAATACCATTCATGGGAACCCTGCCTTCATAACTTTGTCACTTCCTAAATGCCTCACCCCTGCATACTATTGCATTGGAGATTTAAGTTTCAACATGAATTTTGGCAGGGGCACAAACCTTTAAACCATGGCATGGTTCTGTCAGTTGTTTTTCTTTCTTTGAGGTGGTTTATTATTCCTCTTGGGATGAGACAAACTCAAAAGCAACAGTGTTGATGCTTTTACAAGTAGTTAAATGTAGAGACTTTAGCCTTTCATTCCACTTTGTGGTCTTTTGGAGAACATGTTCTGCTTTATTTTGGCTTCAAAGAACTTCTTTCCAGTTCTTCCTATTTCTAGAAATGTGTAAATGGAAACAAGTTCTAGAAAGTTCAATGATGAGATGGAAAATGAGAGGGAAGGATAGGTCACTAAAACATGAGCACTGAAATCACTTTCTGTTTAGGAAAAACTTGAACTCTAGAGACTGCTTTTGGGCCTCACCAAAACAGATGCTCTAAGTCTTTCGTCTCATCAGACTTCTTTGTCATTTCTGTGTATACTTCAAAGGTGATCTTATCTTCTACCAAAAACAAAACAGCAGATCTGAACTCATTTGAATTTACTCTAAGGTCAATCCCTCTTAATCCCCACCCTTTTCCTACAGGACTTTGTTTCATCAATTGTTCTCATCCTCTTTTGTACCTTAAAGCTTTCTTCTTTTATCCCCTTCTACACTTCAGTGCTCAGTTTTCTCCTATCTAAAAAGTCCTTCCCTCAATGCTGCTCCTTTCTTGAGCCCAAATGTCATGAAAGAGTCATCTGTCTTCACTGGCTGTACTTGCTCAACTCCCATTTTTTTACAAGTCCGGTTGCATTCTCATCTCCATCCCATCCCTTCTCTGAAACTACTTTCACATAAGTCTCCAATGACTTTCATTTGCCTTAGGTCACCTTTCTATCTTTTGCAGTCGTGTGTGTGTGTGTGTGTGTGTGTGTGTGTGTGTGTGTCTACCATTTCTGAGACACTATTCATTTCTAATTTATCACTCAGGAAGGTTCTAATGAGTTTTAACTTTGATGCTCAGGGTTCACATGTGATCACTTCTTACTGTGAGGTGTCCTCTTGTGTTGGTATGTAATCTCTTTGCCATTTTAAACAGTTGAATCTCTAGTGAGGATGTTGGTAGTTTCTGTTTTCATGGTCCAATTTGTCAAGTTTGTGTGGTGCCTCACAGAACCATATCTTTTCCACTTCCTTCCCTTGAGCTTTTTAAAACAAAAGCAAAACAATTTATTAAAACAAATTTTAAAAAAATAAAATTTCTTACCTTGTATTTGTACAAAAATTACATTACCCGGTACAAAGATCTACCCCTGAGGATGGCGAAATGACTGTAACAAGGTGTGAGTCAACATCCAGTGCCTAGATGGGTCCTGACACTCGGGGACTGCTCAATAAATATTTGTTGGATGAATGAATTCCACAAAAAGCCCTAAGAGGTCACACGCAGTTCCAGCTGAAGACTTGGAAACATGCCTCATCTTTTATCCCAGCTGGCTGGCTTGAAAAACTTACTTTTGAGCAAAATGCTTAGATCTGGATGCTATTATAGGCCCTTCAAAACTGTATAAATAGTTATTCTTTTTGTATATTTTTTAAAGGGAGAAAGCAGTATGAACCATTTAAAAGTCAAGTTGAAGCCGGGTACAGTGGCTCAAACTGGAGTCCTTGCACTTTGGGAGGCTGAGGCAAGAGAATTGCTTGAACCCAGGTGTGCGAGACCAACCCAAGAACGAGGCCTTGTCTCTGCAAAAAAAAAAAAAAAAAGTAGCCAGACATGGCGGCACATGCCTGTAATCCCAGCTACTCGGGAGACTGAGGCAGGAGGATTGCTTGAGCCCAGGAGTTAGAGGCTGTGGTGAGCCATGATCATGCCACTGCATTCCAGCCAGGGTGACAGAGTGAGACCCTGACTTAAAAATTAAAAAAAAAAGTAAAATTTAATTCACTTTTGCCCTTACTACCAGGAGAAACATCTATTTTGTTTTTCTTAATTATAAAAACTCACATATTTAACTAGTTCATATAGTCTCTCCACTCTTAACCCCTCTGCAGTGTTTCTGGAACTGGGACTCTTTGCTTCTGGTTTACAGGGAGCACTGATGCAGTGAGCAAGTAGGCATGCTGTGTGCATTTAACTCTAGAATTCATGTTCCAGAGAGTACTCTGGTTTAGTAGGGTTATGGAATTGCTGTTGAAGATGGCAGAGACCTCTGGAAACCTGTTCTTGACCCTGTTCTTTAGTCCTACCCCTCAACACCATTCGTGTCTTTTCTGTGTATTTATCTGTGCTAATGAAACTGACTGGCTAAGTCTGCTCCTATTGGTGTCTATAACTGATAATGTATTTCTCAACTCTTGTTCACAGAGGGACCTGTCAGGGCACAAGAACATTGTGGGTTACATCGATTCTAGCATCAACAATGTGAGTAGCGGTGATGTGTGGGAAGTTCTCATTCTGATGGATTTTTGTAGAGGTATGTATGTGAACCTACCCTTAAGCTCTCCTCTCTCTAGCATCTTGATTGTCAAGGGCATGGGGGTCATTTCACTTCATGTGCATTGCACCCTAAAGTATGTTGTTCTGTTTTTACTGATGGGAGAACTCAGAGGTTAAAAGGTACAAAATTTGCTGTCAACTCTCGGTTATTCTCATAATGGTGAGGTGCAGTGGTACAAATAATTGAAAGTGATGGATAATACAGAACTACATTTTTGTTAGATTGAGGAAGGTTTGGTGTTTGTATATAAATGAGGACATATAAGAATAAGAGTGAATGTATTCTTGGTGATGTTTTAGCACAAACGGTGAAGGCACATAATAAAGACCCAACTCTCCAGATGGACTGAAGAAACAATGTAGTCTCCCCTCCCCTCCCCTCCTCTTCCCTCCCTTTCCCTCCCGTCCCCTTCCATGTGTGTTCTCTTTCCCACTCACACCACCATTCTTGTGTTATGGGATAAAAGAACCTTTTTCTTCTAATTGAAATGACCCTCCCATCCTTGACTCTAGAACTGTAATTCCTAGTCAGGCAAAGCTACAGTCGAATAATGCTGTGTCAACAGTGGACTTAAGTAGTTGAATGCCTGAAGTTTCAAAAAACATTTATCTTTGAAATTTATTCAGAGTTGATTGCATTTCATATGACCATTGTTTGGAGGTTTGGTTTGGGTCATTGTCTTACTGTTTTATAATCACCCTTCATTTCACTAACAATTTTCCAGTCCTTAAAGATACTGTCCATAAATTAGATATTTTGCTAATCCCAAAAATGTGATGTTAACCAGTAATTTCAGACCTCACTGTTTTAGCTATTAACCTGATTTTCTAAAATACTACCAAATTTGAACTTCCAGTTAGTTTCCTCCTGCCTATTCCTTTTGGACACTAGAATGTTCAGAAACCTGGCAGTAGGAGCATCTGGAATCTGGATAATCTTGTAAGTGAAGTCATCAATCTTTTGGTCCTGGAGATTAAATGTTGGTATAACATCTCTGCAGGCCAAACACTAAGTTGTGCAGCCAGAGAGACCAAGCTGTTTTTTAAATACAGACTATAAAACTGTTGTCTTCCTGCTTCCTGGATCTACTGTGCCATCTCATTCTTACTAAAAGATATGGCAAGTTGAGGCTATGGCCTCATGTCACACACAACAGGAACAGTATAACCAGGTACTACAGTGGGGCCATGTTGTCAGTTCTACTACTAATCTTGAAGATATAATGAGGGCAGCTTACGTCTGGGGTGTTTTGTAAAGTAAGGAACTATTTTTGATGAATTAGTGGAGGCACTGGATTGTAGGAAAAAAATCCCAAGCTGGGAGTCAAGACAACTAGGTTTTAGTTCTGGCTTGGCCAGTGGCCAACTCTGTGACCTCCTTGTTCCTCTTTGGACAGCCACTCATTCTCTTGGGCCAAGAAACAAGCCTGAATGTTTATAACCTCTTTTTTTCTCCGCACCCCTCTCAGGCGGCCAGGTGGTAAACCTGATGAACCAGCGCCTGCAAACAGGTTTTACAGAGAATGAAGTACTCCAGATATTTTGTGATACCTGCGAAGCTGTTGCCCGCCTGCATCAGTGCAAAACTCCTATTATTCACCGCGACCTGAAGGTAACAGACTACCCTGTGTTATTAGGTGCATTCTTGCTGACTATTTTATGTCTGCTCCAGGGATGGAGTAGAGACTGGGTATATGAGCGAAGTTGAAGGTATGGTCCCTAATTCTAAGTTTGCATTCTGCTTGGGGAGAGTAAATACAAGGAAAAAGTACAGTTTTATTACTTACGTAGCCTCCAGACATTTTTTATAATTATCAAATGCCTGGACCCATGTTGTTTTTGTTTTTCCTGATGTACCCCAAATTCACTTTTCCAGGGTTGTAAAAAATAATATGCTAATTTAAATAGTTGTACAGAATGATGCTTGGTTTTTAAAGTCTTTTTCATATTTTTGCAAAATCCAAGATTGATTATTTTTAAAATTTCTCCTACTAATTGCTATCATCTTGCACTGTGCCTTTCACATCGTTGTCACTTGACAGTGTTTGTTGAATGGGATTGGCATCTAGTTAGGGTTCAGCTGAGCGTTTATTGAGCACCAACAGTGTGCAGTGTTCACTACTACACCTTGTGTACAATGTCTCTTCAGAGGGAAACATTCTTCATTACATTTCATAATTGAGGAAACAAGAGGTTATGTGGCTTTCCTAAGGTCTTATAACTAGAAAGGAGCAGTACCAGAATTTGAATCCAGTCCTTCAGACTCTAAATTATAATTTATTTTCATTATACCTGTGTTTCAAAATATAGGCTTCAACTGGGCATGGTGGCTCATGCCTGTAATCTCAACAGTTTGAGAGGCTAAGGTGGGAGGATTACCTGAGTCCAGGAGCTTGAGACCAGTCTAGGCAACATAGTGAGACCTTGTCTCCACAAAAAATATATTTAAAAATTAGCCAGTCATGGTTGTATGCCTGTAGTCCCAGCTGTTTGGGAGGCTAAGACAGGAGGATCACCTCGGCCCGGGAGGTTGAAGCTATAGTAAGCTGTGATTGTGCTTATTGCACGCCAGCCTGGGTGGCAGAATGAGACCCTGACTCTAAAAAAAAAAGAGAAACAGGTTTTGTAGCTAATAACTTGCATCAGCATCCTCTGGTATGCTTGTTGAATGCAGGCTGCTAGGTTCCACACTGAATCTCCTGTACTAGAATTTTGGTGGTGACAGCAAGGAGGCTAGTAGGCCTCATATCTTAAACACCTCAGATGGCTTGTGTATACTCTAAGGTTTGAGGATCAAAGCAGCATGTTAGCATTTCTTTTTTTTTTTCTTTTTTGAGTTGGGGTCTCACTCTGTTGCCCAGGCTGGAGTGCAGTGGCACAATCCCTGCCACTGCAGCCTTGACCTGCTGGGTTCCGTCTCAGCCTTCCAAGTAGCTGGAACTACTTGGAAGCTACCATGCCCAGCTAATTTTTTGATTTACTGTAGAGACGAGGTCTCACCAAGTTGCCCAGGCTATTTTGAACCCCTGGATTCAGGTAATCCTCTCACCTCGGCCTCCCAAAGTGCTGGGATTACAGGCTGAGCCACTGCGCCCAGCCTTTTTTTAACTTAAAAAACTGAAATCTAATTTATATACCATAAAATTCACCCTTTTAAAGTATATAATTCAGCAGTTTTTAGTATACTATTTACAAAGCTCAGCAGTCATCATCACCCTCTAACTTCAGAGCATTCTAACATACCCAAAAGAAACACTGTATCGATTAACAATCACTCCCCATTCCCTCCCTGCTCACTCTAGTCCCTAGAAACCACCAGTTCCGTTTTTGGCTCTGTATTTTCATATTATAAGCATTTCTTATAAATGGAACCATATAATATGTGCTCTCTTGTGTTTGACTTCTTTTCACTTAACATAGTGTTATCAACATTCATCCATGTTATAGCATGTCTCAATATCTCACTTCATAGCTGCATAATATTCCATTGTATAGATATATCACATTTTATTTATTCATTCACTGATGAATATTTCACTTGTTTTCACTTTTTGGCTGTTATAAACAATGCTGCTGTGATCATTCACGTACCAGTTTTTGTGTGGATGTATGTTTGGAGTTCTCTTAAGTGCATTCCTAGAAATGGAATTGCTGGGTCATCATATGGTAACATTGTGTTTAACTTTTTGAGAACCTGTCAACTGTTTTCCAAGGTGGCTATGATATTTTACATTCATTGACAATATATGAGGGTTCCCATTTTTTCTACATCTTTATCAACACTTGTTATTACTGTCCTTTTTTATTTTAACTATCCTAATGGATATGAAGTGGTACATTCTGGAATTTCTGTACTAAGGGAGTTTGCTTACAGGAAAATAAGCATATGCCTTCAGAAGCCTTAGATAGCCTTTACTAGTGTACCTCTGCCCACAATCAGCCTTTTTTTTTTCCTGAGTAGAAAAAAGGAGAATGCATCTTGGTGAATATTTATTTTGAGCCTAGAATAGTACAAGTACACAATTCTGTGAGGATGAGACAGATATAACACTGTTCTACCACAAGATGTGTAAAAGTATTGTTGGTAAGAAGTTATTAATGAAATATTTAGATTGGAAACAGGTATTTTTTGAGAAAAGGTATTTTCCAGAATTTTCTGGAAAAGCAGGATTTTGAAGGACTGGTGGAATGTGGGTGATCACAGAGAGGGTGAAGAACATTCCAGGCAGAGGTCACAGCTGGAGAGCTGCTTCCAAAAGGGAACGGCAGGGTATATAGGAATGAGGAGGCAGGTAAGGTCCTGTGTGTGGCCAGGGGCTGACCAAGCTAGAGTGACTGCAGGCCATTGCTCTGAATATGTACCAACACTTTATTGCCTTTAGCGAGTGCAGCTCTTGGTTAAATCCTGTTAGCATGTATTTCGAAATAGGTAGTGGTACCAAAATTTAAGAACCTGACTTCCATCCTTGCTTCCTGCCTTGGAGAAAAGTTTGTGAGGCACACAGAGGTAGGGGAGCTATGTGACTGGTAAGTGCTGCTCCACGTGACCTTGCCTTCTCTGTAGCCCCATTCTCCCTAGTTCCATGTCAGATGAGGTCAGATTTCACACTTGACCTCTGCCTTTTGCAGTGCTGTGGACAGAAACCAAAAGATGCAGGGACTGTGAAAGATGATCGTTGGCTGTTTCCTTAGGATTGCCTCATGCAGAGGCCATGCAGTCCCTGTCTTATTTCCCTGTGGCCTCTGGCCCCTTGTGATTGTCTCTCCCATGACCCTGTGATGGCATATTCCCCCAGCTCTTCCTTCCCAGTCTTCTTTGCGTGCTTCTCAAGTTGCTCGCCTTTCCCAGCCCCAGTTTCCTTATTTGTAAAGTGGAGATAGCAGTGCCTGCTTTGTTAGGGTCATGGTGCGCTTGAAGGAGAGCGCGTGTGTCACTCTCTAGGCACATCTCTGGTGCAGTCAATGCCAGAGAGGACTCAGAGGGGAAAGCTCGAGGAGGCAGAGGGCCGCGGGGAACTGTTGGCAGGTACTGGTCCCATGTTCTTAAAGTCTTCCTTTATTTTAACTTTTTTCTAAACACTTATTAGATTAAATGGAACCCAAATGGGAATCATTTCATACCAGTAAACAATGCCTTCTCAGCTTACATACTTCCAGGATAGCACTGCCCTGTGGTGGTCCCAGTGCTGTCATGAGATGCTGGGTCAGCGTCACCCGGTGAGGGGACCCTGAGGGACTGGGCTCAGTGTCTTGCCTGGGGCCACCATGTAGGTGCCTGGCAGGGTGAAGGCAGCAGGATCCCGGAATTCTCCTTCATTGTCCTTAGCAGCCTGCCAGAGGTTTCAGCAGGGGGATGGGAGCAAAGGAAATAAAGGGCGGGGCAGCAGCATAAGCCAGAGGTTGCCACACTTCGTTCCCCAGCTGCCCTCAGTGCTCCTGCAAGGGAGGTAGGCGGTGCTGGGAACACCGCTGTCAACCCTCTGTATCGGTGGGTTCCACATTTGCAGGCTCCACATCCACGGGCTCAACCAACTGCAGATGGAGAATGTGGACCGTTGACCCTCTGTATCTGTGGGTTTCAATGCATGAGTTGCCTGGACATAGATGTTAAACCTGCAGATACAGAGAGCTGACTGCATCAGACTCTGTGGTTGCGATTTAATTAGTCTTGAAGGTCATCAGGCTGTGGTTCAGGAGACTCTCTTTCCTCTCTACTGGGAAATAGGGAACGTAAATAGGAACCTGTGGGATGAGGCCTCAATTGTTATGGATGCAGAGAAGTTCTTGTTGCTGCCTTTAGTCATTGACTCTGCGTTGTTTTGGTCAAAGCTTTCTAAGAATTCCCAAATCTTACACTCAGTGCCACCTAGATGCTTTCATTGGCATGTGTGATTTTGTTGATGTCTTCTAGTATGTGCATGGTGGGCAGTAATCATTGCCTGATGCACCTCCAGCTTGCCAGAGTCTGAGTGAAAAGCTACCAGGTACTTCTGTTAATTTAGCTCTGTGGTTGTGTAATGTAGCCTCGGCCACTCTGAGCTCCATGTCATTGATGGAACTAGCCGTTGCAGTCCTAGCCGTAATCAGAGCCAAAGAGTTTTCTGTTCTCCTTTTGGCTAGAGAAAGTGCTAATTGCTTGCTTCTCTGTGAGCAGGATTTCCATTGGGTGAGGAGGCACCACTGTGTATAAAGTTAGGGGGATGAGGGCAAGAGCACAGGCCAGGTGACTGAGTTGAGCCAGAACCCCCCTGTGTGGGTCTGCTTGTTCACATGTGGGACTGAGCAAGGCCGCCTTGCCCTGTCTCCTAGTTACGTATGGGAAAGAGGCTGAAAGTGAGCCCTATCCTTAAGCAGCTCATGTCCTAAAAATAACCACAATAGAAGTGCTATTCTATATTGACGATCTCTCCTCAAATGCATTGTTTTAACCCTTTAGCTTGTCCCCATTTTAAGTTTTCATTTATCTGAGGAAAGATAAAGATCATTATTGCAGGCCATGGGTTCATAGATCTGGAATGGTCACCTAAGCCAGACCTTTCCTTTACCAGTGAGGATGCTTCCACACAAAAACGCTATGATCTGCACAGTAAACGAAGTGATCAAACCAGAACA